CAGAGACATAGCCATTACGCTAACTGCTGGTTCCCACTTTTAAACTTATTTTGAATTACTACTCTTATTATTGTTTTTATTTTCTATATAGTGCATGCGCTTGCCAGGGAGAGACAGAGAAAGTGAGAAATCAGCCCCTGGGAGAAGGCCACACTGCAGTCCTTTCTCCTCCATTCTCCTCTCAGGATTTTGGGTATACACACACACAGTTGGCATGTTTATCAGGCTGTGGGATCTGGGAGTCCAACCACACAGTTGTCAGTCAGTGAGGGATCCAGCCATCTTAACTGCCACACCACAGGCTGGCCTAGAACTCTTCCTCAAATATGTTACACATCTCTGTTTCTTCTTAAACATGATATCAACCATCATTACAGAAGAATACAGTTCATTCATTTCTTTTCCTGGTGATCAGGACCACAATTAGAAATTTGAGTTATTGTTCTAATAATGGTGCTCTCAGAACTGATTGAAATATAAGGAAGGCTCTTTCCTGCTTATGAGCAGCCAGAGACTGATATGCTTCTGGAGTTTTTCTGATTCCTCAGGGTGCCAAATCCCTCTCTTTCTGTAAAAACCATAATGGCCCCAAATCTTATTTGTGGTTTTAAATTTATTGTGAAGTAAAATAACCTCATAACCTGGCTTATTAGAAGTATATATGAAGGACCAACAGATAGCGTAATGATTATATCGCTGAACTCCCACATAGTTGACCATAGTTCAAGTCCCAGATCCAGTGGCTTCAAACACATGCCAGGTGTGTGTCCCAAAAATCTTTAGAGGAGAATAGAGGAGAAGGGATTGTGGCATGCCATCCCCCCCAGGGGGGTGATTTCTCACTTTCTGTCTCTGTGGTGAGCACCTGTGCCCTATAGCAAAAATTTCTCTTAAAAAAGAAAAAAGAAATATATGTGAAACAAAAGTAAAAAAAAAGGCTAGTTTGAGGAGAGGGAGGAGCTTTGCTGTGATTAAGAGCTCAAAGTAGGTACTGCTACTCTGAGTGGTCAGATATACATAACCCCATTTAGGTGAGGTGCTATTGTAACTGGCTGAAGAAAGGGTTGGATTTAGTCTTACTGGGGTCTTTTAGCCATCTGGTGGCCTAAGACTTGACAGGAGTGACATGGTTAGTTGTCCATTGTAATATAATACTTGACACTGGTGACTATAGTGAGGAAAGATTGTCTTTTCCAAGTTAGCAGGTGATGGTTTTTTTTGGGAGGGGGGTAGTTTTTGCTATAGGGTGTGTGTGTGTGCCAGAAAGAGAGAGACAGAAAGCTAGAAATCACCCCCCGGAGGGATGGCCATGCTGCAATCCCTTCTCCTCCTTTCTTCTCTTGAGATCTTGGGCATGCACTCACATTTGCCTGGCGTGAGTATTTTCTTTTTTTTTTTTTTGAAAGGGTTTTTGCTATAGGGCGCGTGCGCTCGTCAGACAGACAGAGACAGAGAGATAGAAAGCGAGAAATCACCCCCCAGGGGGGATGGTCATGCCGCAGTCCCTTCTCCTCCATTCTCCTCTCGGGATCTTGGGCACGCACGCACACGCGCCTGGCGTGAGTTTAAGCCACCGGGTCCGGGACTCGAACCACGGTCGACTATGTGGGAGCTCAGTGACATAGCCATTATGCTAACTGCTGGTCCCACCTGGCGTGAGTTTTAAGCCATCTGGTCTGAGACTTGAACCACAGCAACTACATGGGAGTCCAGAGACATAGCCATTACACCAACTACGGGTCCCGTGATAGTATGTTTTATACCTCAGAAGACAGATGAAACATAAAAGCCTCTTTCAGGTCTGAATTCTGGACTTCTATAATATAGGTATAGAAATGTGTTGATAGAAAAATTAAAGAAAGTAGGGAACTTTTCAGATAGCAACAACGTAAGGGAGAAGTGGAGAAGGATTATACTGAAACAGTAAAAGGCTATGGAAAGGCTCTATCCCTCTTTCAATAGGATGATTACTACTGCGACATAAGGAGTGGGAGAATCAATAATTTTATCTTGTCCTTTGTCTTGTAAAATTATTTTTAGAATTATTGGGAACCAGCAGTTAGAGTAATGGCTATGTCGCTGGACTCCCACGTAGTCGACCGCGGTTCGCGTCCTGGACCTGGTGGCTTAAAACTCACGCCGGGCGCTTGTGCGTGCGTGCCCAAGATCCCGAGAGGAGAATGGAGGAGAAGGGATTGCGGCGTGACCATCCCCCCTGGGGGGTGATTTCTCGCTTTCTGTCTCTATGTCTCTCTCTGTCTGTCTGGCGAGCGCACGCGCCCTATAGCGAAAACCTCTCCAAAAAAAAAAAGAAAGAATTATTTATTTAAGTTTATCATTATTATTTTTTAATTTGCTATAGGGCACATGTGCCCACTAGAGAGAGACAGAGAAAGAGGGAAAGCAAGAAAGCAAACTATCAGGTCTAGGATCCAAACTGCGGTCAGCCATGTGGAAGTCCAGTGCCCCAACCGCTACGCCACCTGCTGGCACCATCTTGTAAATTTGGAATCAGATCAGAAATGTGCTCCATAATAAATATGAGGGGGGACTTCAAAAAGTTCATGGGAAAATAGAAATGAAGTATGGGTTTATTTTGAAATTGAAATTCATAGTTTTTTTTTTTGGAGAGATTTTCACTATAGGGCATGTGCACTCGCCAGACAGACAGAGAGAAACATAGAGACAGAAAGCGAGAAATCACCCCCAGAGGGGATGGTCACGCCGCAATCCCTTCTCCTCCATTCTCCTCTCGGGATCGTGGGCATGCACGCACATGCGCCCGGCGTGAGTTTTAAGCTACCGGGTCCGGGACTCGAACCGCAGTTGACTACGTGGGAGTCCAGCAACATAGCCATTACGCTAACTGCTGGTTCCCGAAATTCATAGTGTTTTCATAATAAGCATTTTTCATGAACTTTTTGAAGACCCCCCTCCTAGCTCAAAAATTTTAAATTAGCCTTATTGGGGGCCAGCTGGTAGTGTAGTGGTTAAGGCAGCAAGATTCCACATAGCCAATTGCACAGTTCAAGTCTCAAACCTAGAGGCTTGAAATACGTGGCAGGCACATGTGCTTGTGTACCCAAAAACCTCAACAGTGGGAGAAATGTAGGAGAAGGAATTGCGTTATGACCATTCCCTGTGGGGGGTGCTTCTTTACTCAGTCTGTTTTTCCTCAGCCAACTCACATGCCCTCTGGCAAATAAAAATACTAGTCTTAAATAAATAAACAAAAGTTAAAAATAAAATAATTTTAAAAAAGAAAAAGGGAGGGGACCAGCAGGTAGCATGGTGGTTAAGGGCGCTGGACTCCCACATGGCTGACTGTGGTTCGAGTGCCAAACCAGTCAACTTGCTTTCTCACTTTTTTTTCTCTCTGTCCCTCTCTGGTCAAATTAAAATAAATAAATAAAAGGTAAAAAATATAATAAAATAATTCTTTTTTTTTCTTTGGAGAGGTTTTCACTATAGGGTGCGTGCGCTCACCAGAGACAGAAAGCGATTTTGGCCACGCCACAATCCCTTCTCCACCATTCTCCTCCTGGGATCTTGGGCATGCACGCACATGCACCTGGCGTGAGTTTTAAGCCACCGGGTCCAGGACACGAACCACAGTCGACTACATGGGAGTCCAGAGACATAGCCATTACGCTAACTGCTGGTCCCCAAAAAATAAAATAATTCTTAAAAAACAAAACAAAAAAACTACCTTTGGGCCAGCTAGGTGGTGTAGTGGTAAGGTGGCTTGATCCCATATGGCAGACTGCAGTTTGAGTCCCAGACCTGACAACTTGAAAAATCATGCAAGGCTCACGTGTGTGCCTAAAATCCTGAAAGGAGGGAGAAATGGGGAAGACAGGTTACAGCATGACCATTTCTCATAGGGGGTGTTTTCTCATTTTCTCTCTGTCTCTGTCTCTCCCTCCTAAAATATTAACCTTTTTGGTGAGGCTAACTGGAAATGATGCCATAGGTCTGTGGCCAGATGGACTTGGTAATATCCCTCCTCCTCTAATTTACCTTAATCCAGGAGGATGCTGGACATCTGGTATCCTGTTCCCTTGAGCTTGCTTACTGTAGGACTTAGGGCAGTGCTGGCCTCTCACAGACCATGCCTAATCCTGCTGGTGCCTCAGTTCTTCCTGGGAGCCCAGAAGGGGCTAGACCATGGGTGCTTAGTTTCTTCTCCCATTTGTCAGAGGGTTGAGGAATGAGACATGGAACATTAAATCCTAAGTCTCTTCTCAGGGAAATTTGAGACTATAAATAGTGGCCTTCCACTATCAGTGTTATTTGTTTTTTTCCCTCACTTTCCAGAAGATTGAATTTTAAGCTTAAATTGTTAACACCAAAGACAGTTATACATCTTTACCCTTAAAAACCTGGAATTGGGGGAAATCAGTGTGGTTTTGGACATTGGGGGTAATGTGGAAGCTAAAGTAAGGGATTGGGTAGTTGCTTACAACTGCTCTGTGGATGTTTATTAAAAAGTATTTGCCTGGGACCAGCAGTTAGCTGGCTATGTCGCTGGACTCCCATGTAGTCGACTGTGGTTCGAGTCTCAGACCCAGTGGCTTAAACTCACGCCGGGCACATGTACGTGTGTGCCCAAGATCCCGAGAGGAGAATGGAGAAGAAGGGATTGTGGTGTGGCCATCCCCCCTGCGGGGCGAATTCTCACTTTCTGTCTCTGTCTTTCTGGCAAGAGCACACGCCCTATAGCAAAAACCTCTCCAAAAAAAAAAAGTGTTTCCCTCTCTCTCTAAAATATCTTTTGCTTCAATTTGGTTTTAAGTCTTGCCAGCAAAACATGAATAAGACTTTTCTCTTTTGTTAAGCATGTCTTAATCATGTTCTGGAAACTAATTATTTTCAAAGTTATTTAATTCTGTAAAATGTCTTTTCACACAGTAAGGATTCAGTGAGACAGAGTATGAAGTGCTGGTTCTGAACTTGTTTGTTCTTGCTGATTCCTTTAACTTCCCTTTTCTTTTTTCCAGAATCCTATTCTAAGAACTCGGGCACTCAGGTATCCACCATGGTGTTGAGTCCTGAACAGAAGATGCCAGAAGGTAATTTATAACTTCGTGTTTTTGTCTAGTTTTCACTTGGAATTAGGCTAGAACAGTAATAGAAATTTACTGTATTTTCCCTCTTGTCATCTGTTCTAACATCTCCATTCAGAAGTCCCTGTTTGTGGGCCGGCAGTTGGTATGGTGGTTAAGGGTGCTGGACTCCCTCATGACCAACTGTGGTTTGAGACCTGGACCGGGCAGCTTGCTTTCTCACTTTCCCTCTGTCTGTCTTTCTCTCTTGCTTTGTCTCTCTCTGGTCAAATTCAAATAAATAAATAAAAAATAAATAAAGTTGAATAAAATAATTCCTTAAAAAAAATAACAAAAATAAATAGAAAGGTTAAATAAAATAATTATTTTAAAAAGTCAGCATCTGGTGCTTTAGTCTGTAAATGTGAACAGGTTTATAACCAGAGACCTGTCTCACCTTTCCAGCTCTGAGTTGAGCCAAGGTTAGCTGTGAGTTCAGTTTCTATAGTAATAATGCTTACAAGGGCAGTGTTACTCCAGGCCTGGCATGAGAGCCTCTAGAGTGCGTTGGCTGCTTGTGATACTTCCTGATGTTTCCGATGTGTATGGACTAGTAAAGTGCAGGGTGAGCACTTTATTTTATTGGAGCTTCTGAAGTACTTTGATGAATCCTTTCCAAATCTGAGCTTCCCCTTTGTCCATTCCTTTTAAATTTTCTTATCAACTCAGAGTCATTTAATTAAGATGATATGGGTCAGTTCCCTGTAGAAACCACTTGGTTTTTTTTTCTTCCCCGCCCCTTATTTTTTTCCCCTTTCCTGATATCTGGCAGGATACCAAAGAGTGTGTGTACTTGCCAGAGAGAGACAGAGAAGGTGGGGGAGATAGCCCCTCTCAATGGGGTGTAGTCACACTACCATCCCTTCTCCATTTCTCTATCCTGTTGGGATTCTGGGTATGTACACATGTGCACAACTTACCTTTCACGCTGCTGGGGCTGGGTTACGAACCACAATCGACCATGTGAGATTCAACTCCCTTAATTGCTAGGCCCCAGGGCTGCCTACTCCCCCCCCACCTTTTTTTTTTAAGAGAGGGAGAGATTTATTTATTTACTTGTTTATTTATTGGAGAGGTTTTTGCTATAGGGCACGTGCGCTCGCCAGACAGAGAGAGACATAGAGATAGAAAGCGAGAAATAACCCCCCAGGGGGGATGGTCACGCCACAATCCCTTCTCCTCCATTCTCCTCTCGGGATCTTGGGCACGCACGCATATGCACCCGGCGTGAGTTTTAAGCCACCAGCTCCAGGACGCGAACCGCGGTCGACTATGTGGGAGTCCAGCGACATAGCCATTGTGCTAACTGCTGGTTCCCGGGGGAGATTTTTTTTTGAAAAGATCTTGCCATGTTGGGATCCTTCTGCCACAGCCTCTAGTTAGCTAGGCCCACAAGTGTGTGCCACCACATCTGGCCTGCATAGGCTAGACCAGAAATTGAACCCAGGCCTCCTGTGTGGCCTCAGCTCTGAATAGCAGCAGCACTTTTTTTTTTTTTTTCTGGAGAGACTTTTGCTATAGGCCATGCTCTCTGGAGAGACAGAGAGACAGAAAGCGAGAAATCACCCCCTGGGAGAGATGACCACGCTTGCAGTCTCTTCTCTATTTTCCTTTGGGGACTTTGGGAATGCATGCACACACAGCTGGTGTGTTTCAAGCTGCCAGGTCTGGGGCTTCAGCCACAGTCAACCAAATGGGGGTCCAGCACATTAACTACTGTGCCACCTTATGGCCCTGAGTAGCAGCACCTTATCAGCATGTGCCACGACTCTTTTTTTTCTAAATCGAGGCTGTAAAGTTTTATTAGAAACACAGCTATTAGAGCTTTGGGTTCAAAATAGCCATTTGCTGACTACAACAAATTGGGCTTTGTATGTTTCTGATAGATTAGCTCTTTTTTCCCAGACTCTCCCCCTCGCTCTGTTTAATATTAACTACATGCAGGATATAGGGAAACACAGATATCTGTCTGAGATGAGGTTGCTATCACAAGGGTGCTGGCACTTTGTGACCAGAGTTTCTTCACTGTGCCCTAGGACACAAAGAGTTTCTGCTTGGTGGCTTCCTTGCAGCTTTAGATTTTAGCCTGAACTGTGGCAGAATTTTGCAGCTTCTGCCCTTTTTTGAGAAGCTTGATGGAGGTGTAATATCTAAGAATGATTATTTTGATGAGTCCTGCCATATAATGCGATGTTCCACTAGACTGACATAGTTCTTTTTAAACGTTAAGATTTTAGATTACTAGTGGGGTTGTTCCAGAATGTTTTATTTTGAGCCCTAAGTGTCCTTGTTTTTAGAGGAAAATCAAATGATTCTAAAACTGCCAAGCAGGAGTAAAAGTATGCAAGTAGGAAAATCACTGTGCAATTGGTATTAAGAGCTGATCTAGGGCCTGCTAGTGGTATAGTGGTTAAAGTGGCTGGATCCCACATGGCTTACTGCTTAGTTTGAGTCACTGACCAGTGACTTGAGAAACATGCCAGGTGCATGTGCATGCATGTCCAAAATCCTGAGAGGAGAATGGAGGAGAAGGGGTTGTGGTGTGGCCAGCCCCTCTGAGCAGTGCTTTTTCACTTTCCCTCTCTGTTACTCTCCAGTGAGCATGCACCCTGTAACAAAAACAAACAAACAAACAAAAAAGAAAGAAAGAGAACAAAAGCAAAAAGGAATGATCTAGAGCTGAGTGGCTGGGGAAAAAGGAGTAAGAGAGGACTTTTCTAGTGTAGGCTTTTTTGTACTTTGCATTTTTAATCATGTGAATGTATTATCTGTTCAAAAATAAATTTATTAAAAAATATATATAAAAATAAACTATTAAATTGAGCTAGAGTCAGATTGGTCTTGTGCGTTTAAATATTAAAATGCTTTAATTTCAGTACTACTAAGGATGAGTTGTTAGTGTTATATTTTATCACTTTTTAAAAAATTATTCTTAATTTTATTTATTCATTTACTTATTTTATTTTGACCAGAGAGACACAAAGAGAGAGAGAGAAAGTGAGAAAGCAAGCCACCAGGTCCAGGACTTGAACCATGGTTGACCATGTGAGAATGTCCAACGCATTAACCACCACACCACCTGCTGGTCTCTAATATTTTTTTCACTTTTATTAATTTCTTCTCAAATCTGTTAATTCAGACAACGCTTCTGGAGACCATGAAGACTCTGCCAGCTTTGGTGCCATCAACTTTGCCTATAGTAACTCCTCTCTTCCACAGTCCACTGGGCAGCCAGAAGAGCCCTTTGCTACCTACTTTGATGAGAAGATCACCATTCCTGAGGAAGAGGTTAGTGACAGATCCTTGAATAATACACTAGTCTGGAAAAAAGCCTATGAGTGATGGAAGATCTGCTCAATGACTCAAGGTCACAGCCTCAGGTCTAATTTTGGCAGACAATCTTTGAAGACTGGATTTTTGTTATCACAGTAAATAGTAATGATTAAGAAAAATGAAGACCTTGAAAAGAATTACTTGATGGCACTAGTAAGCTTTTTTTTTTTTAAGAATTATTTTTTAAATGTTATTTATTTATTTTAATTTGACCAGAGAGGGACAGAGCAATAGAGCGAGAAAGAGATAAAGTGAGAAAGCAAGCCAACAGGTCGAGGACTCGTACTGCAATCGGCCATGTGGTAGTCCAGCACCCTTGCGACTAGACTATGCCACCTTCCAGCCCCGACTAGTGAGCATTTTTTGATCAGGAAAGTATAAATTTCATATTTCCTTTTTTCAAATTTTAAAATCATGGCCCTTGTCCCATTCGGTTGGTGGTTGAGCACAGAGAGATCTGATACCTGGTTTTGGATTGAGAGGCTGATGGAAAGAGCTGGTTATGAAGGGTTCTCAGAGAAGCGGCCAGTTTATTGTTAAAAGGTGGGTAAGATGGAAGTGAAACTTGGATACACACGGCATCCAACATCCTAAGTTCTTTTTTTTTTTTTTTTTTTTTTTTTTTGCTATAGGGCACTTGTGGGAGACAGAGAGTGAGAGAGAGAGAGAAAACACCCTCCAGGGGAGATGACCACACTACAGTCTTCTCCTCTGGGGATTTTGGGTACACATGCACATGTGCCCAGTGTGTTTTTCAAGCTGCTGGGTCTAGGACTTGAACTGTGCAATAGGCCTCGTGTGATCTGGCTGCCTTAACAACTATACCACATAGGTGGCCCAGTCCTTTATCATTATGAAACTGAAAGTGTTGCTTCATATGTGACTAACAAATAGATAAATTAGATTAGTAGATAAAGTAGTGATACTCACTTTGATCTCTGTTTTTCTCTCGTGTAGTACTCTTGTTTTAGCTTTCGCAAACTCTGGGCTTTCACGGGACCAGGCTTTCTTATGAGCATTGCCTATCTGGATCCAGGAAATATCGAATCTGATTTGCAGTCTGGAGCAGTGGCTGGATTTAAGGTGATCTTCTACTTCTACCTCTTTCTTTCTTTATTTTTTTAGTTTATTTTAAGTTTATTTCTGTCATTAGCAAGAGACAGGGTCTTGATTATGTGATTCATATCCAGCTTCATCCAGCCCCTAACCATGGGCATTTGCATTCCTGGCATACTCGGTTGGGGGTGGTTTCTGGATGCAAACCTGAAACCCCCCCACGTGAGTCAACCTCACAGAATGTCATGTTTTACTGCTGAACTGTGCCACCATCCAGCCCCCTCCCTATCTTTTTAAACATACACAATACTCGCTCATATCCTTTCCTCTACCTTGCCTGTTGGATAGCAGCCTCAGGATACATGCAGATACTTCATCAGCAGCGACGTTTGTATGCGAAGTATTTTCCATCTGGTCTTTTATTTTATCCACATAGTTTCCCAAAACCAAGGAGAAACTACAGATGGGAGAAGCCAAGGTTCAGAAAGGTGCAAGGTGACCTAGTGGGACATATGTAGAACCTGATGCAGAACTCAGGTCATGTGATTCCTGACTGGGGGTCTTTCCTGACTGTAGTGTTTCCCATGTACATTGCCAGACAACCAAATGAAAATCCCAGTTGTCTAATGAGTGCTACGGGTGGATTTTTCTTCTCAGTTGCTTTGGGTCCTTCTGTTGGCCACCATTGTGGGGCTACTACTCCAGCGCCTCGCAGCTAGACTGGGAGTGGTCACTGGGCTGCATCTTGCTGAAGTGTGTCACCGTCAGTATCCTAAGGTGAGCAATGTATTTGTCCTGTTTCTCAGCCACATCATAGGAATCTGTGACTGGCAATATTTGCTAGCCCTGACAGTGGAGGACTTGGGTGACAGTCGCGCTGAGGATTGAAAATACCAGGGGAGATTCTTCAGTCCTTCTTAACTGCTAAGCCATATTTTCCCCCTGCTTCAGACTCTTAACTTGATTCACTGTTTCCCACAAGGCTTTTTTTGGAAAAATTCTGTTCATTTACCATTTATTCTGGCATCTAGAAGCCCCAAACCTATGGGAGAGTGGGGAATTCTCTCCAAGCACTTTTTTTTTTTGGAGAGATTTTATTTTTCCTATAGCGTGCATGTGCTCACAGGAGAGACAGAAAGTGAGAAATCACCCCCTAGGGGGGTGTCCATGCCACAGTCTCTTCTCCTCCATTCTCCCTTCAGGATTTTGGACACGCACGCACATGGGCCCGGTGTGAGTTTAAGCTGCCGGGTTTAAGACTTGAACCACAGTTGACTATGTGGGAGTCCAGCAACATAATCGCTACACCACCTGCTGGTCCCCCTATCCAAGAACTTTTTATTCAAACCTCCATGTTTCTCCATCAGTTTGCTTTGTATGTATCTTTTTTATTTGATTTTGCATCACTTTGCATGTGTGTGTGTGTGTGCCCAAAATCCCAAGAGGAGACTGGAGGAGAAGGGATTGTGACCTGGTCATTCCCTCTGTGGGGTGATTTCTTGCTTTCTATCTCGCTGTCTCTCTAGACAGTACATGCATCTTATAGCAAAAATCTTTCAAAAAAAGAAAAAGTTAAATTATTTTTACCTTTTTAAGAAATGTTTGCTGTCAGGCACCTGCGCTCACTGAAGAGACAGAGAGAGAGAAAGTGAGAAAATACTCCCCAGGGAGGATGGCTACGTCACAGTCCTTTCTCATTCCAATTATTCCCAGAGTACTGGGAGTTACTCTGTCCTCTGTAGCTTTTCTCTGGACATTTTGGGCTATTCCTATTGCCTCCTAAGGTAGCAGTGAATCCTATGACCCTATGTCTGTGTGTATGAGAGAGAGAGAGAGAGAGAAACGGGAATTTTTCACAATCTTACCTTTGTGATCTTCTGCCCCAGTTTCCCTGTTGGCTGGGATTACAGGTGTGAACCACCATGCCTGGCCAGGTACGTTGGTCCAGGATCTGAATCCAGGCCTTCTGTGTGGTCCTACCCCTACAGCCTGTGCAATTGTGCCTGGGCCTGAAGACCTTTTTTTAAGAGGTTTTTGCCTTAGGGCATGTGTGTTCATTGGAGAGCGTGAGACAGAGACAGACAGTGAGAAAGAAAGTGAGAAATCACTCCTTGGGGAGATGACCACACCACAATCCCTTCTTCTCTATTTCCTCCCAGGATCTTGGGCATGCACGCACATGCGCCCAATGTGATTTTCAAGCCACCGAGTCCAGTACTTGAACCACGGTCAGCCATGCGGGAGTCCAGTGACGTAACTGCTATGGTACCTGCTGGCGCTGCTGAAGAAAGTTTTGACCTTTAGATAAGATCCTTTTTCACTTGCTTGTGTATAGTTATTATGTTAGAGATGACCCCAGTCTTTTCATCTTTGTTTTGTCTCTTCAGTTATGGTCAGGATAGATGTTTTCTCTGTGGTGATTTCATGGTCTCTCTACTTTCCCTTCAAAGAGGTTATTCCCATCTCAAAGAGGTTTTTAGCTTTTTGCCATAGGGTGCATGCACTCACTGCAAAGAGAGAGAGGGGGAAGGTGAGAAATCACTGCCCCCCACAGGGGGCGTGGCCATACTGCATCCCTTCTCCTCCATTCTGCTCTTGAGATTCTGGATATGCATGCACATGTGCCTGGCATGATTTTCAAGCTGCCGGATTCCAAATTTGAACTGTGGTTGGCCATGTAGAAATTTAGTGCCTTAACCACCATGCCACCTGTGGCCCCTTCCCCTCAAATTGTTTTCTTTCTTTCTTTTTAAATTTTTCCATAGGAAATGTCCATTTTCCAGGGAGAGACAGAAAGAGGCAAAGAGAAAGGGAAAGTAAGAAATCACACCCCAGGAGGATAGTCACTCACAATCTCTTCTCTTTCATTCTCCTCTTGGAATTTTGGGAACAAATGCACACGTACCCATTGTGTTTTCCAGGTCCGGTACTCAAACCATAAGAGTCAGCCATGTGGGATCCAATACCTTAACCATCATGTCATCTGCTGGTCCCTCCCATCAAATTTTTAAGATTGCTTTTAGGCAGGAATTAAGTAGAGATTAGAATGGAAGTTCTATTTTTCTCTTAAGTAGAAAGAAGGTTGAGCGGCCAAATAGGGCCAAGATCTAGAACTTTATTTCTAGTTGGGAAGTTTATGGAGAACTACTTATGGGTCATTCCCACAGTGTGAATTACAAACTGTGGAGGAAGTTCTTTTTTTTTTGGAGAGGTTTTTGCTATAGGGCGCATGCGCTCGTCAGACAGACAGAGACATAGAGACAGAAAGCGAGAAATCACCCCCCAGGGGGGATGGTCACACCGCAATCCCTTCTCCTCCATTCTCCTCTCGGGATCTTGGGCACGCACATACACGCACCCAGCGTGAGTTTTAAGCCACCGGGTCCGGGACGCGAACCGCGGTCGACTACGTGGGAGTCCAGCGACATAGCCGTTACGCTAACTGCTGGTTCCCTGTAAAGGAAGTTCTTAGACATGAGTAATGAGAACCACAATTTTCCTGTTTGATGTTTAGGTCCCACGAATCATCCTGTGGCTAATGGTGGAGTTGGCTATCATTGGCTCAGATATGCAAGAAGTCATTGGCTCAGCCATTGCCATCAATCTCCTGTCTGTAGGAAGGTGAGAGGATTTTTCTTCTAGAGAGTAATCAATGTTGATATCTAATGCTAGATTTCAAAGCAAAAGTAAAACAAAAACCAAACTGATTTTCAATTTTAAGATTCAACTCAAGTATTACTTCTTCTGTGGAATCTTTTTAGAACCACTTCCCTCCCCACCACCAGATGTAGGCTCTTCATCTTCCATTCCCAGAGTGGGTTATGGATATCTCTATTATATACACACTATGTGGCATTTTGTATTATAGTTATTTCTTTGTATGTCTGGGTTATCGAGTGAACTCTTTTAGGTTGAAACCCATACTTTTCAGCTTTGTATCCTAAATGTTTGACATAGTAGACTCTCAATCAAATCTTGAATGAATGTCACTAACTTGGTGCTGTGAACCTATACTAACCAGGGCCTGGCTTCTTGCCATGGCCTCCCCTCCCAGGTCCTTGTTTCTCTATATATTCTGTATGTGAATAGTGTTGTGTTGCAAGGCAGTGTTTGTTCAATGTTTCCTTTCTTTCCTTTAATCTCCATTTCTTATCTCTGACCTAGGGTTCCTCTGTGGGGTGGAGTTCTCATCACCATTGCAGATACCTTTGTATTTCTCTTTTTGGACAAATATGGTAAGGAGAGTAGGAATGGAGGGTCAATCAAAGGAGCTGTTCTTTCCGTCATGTGGCCGATAGGATGTCAACCCTGCATGAGCTCACTGCTGTGTTCAGGTTTGAGGAAGCTAGAAGCATTTTTTGGCTTTCTCATCACTATTATGGCTCTCACATTTGGATATGAGGCAAGTGTCACAGGCTATTAGTTTTTAGTTTTTTGGTTTCTCTTTTATTTAATCTTTTATGAGGGATCTTCACAAAGATGAAGTTCATGAAAAATTGCAAGGATTTCAAGATGTTTTGCACCAACATAAACTTGTACCTTGATTCTGTTTTTTCCATGAACTCTGACGTCCCCTTGCAGTGTAAAAGGAAAAGTATGTTTGAAAAGTGTTTCTGAGTGAGCCTCTATTCTAGTGGTTCATGCAGGTGATTTTTAGATGGATGTAAGTGAACAGAAAGAAGCATGATAAGTGCAGATAATCAGGAATCGATTCTTTGTTCTTGGGTTTGTCTCACATGAGTTATTGTTAAGCTAGCAATAGTAAGATTCTTAGCTGCCATTTTCTTTATAATACTAGTTACATCCTATACCCATCTGTTTAGTATATCTAAAATATGATATAAAATATGTGGTACTCCAAACCTGAATTCTGTGATCCCTGGTAATAAGCCCTGTGTGTTGCCTAGTTTTGTGATGATTCTATAATCTTCACCGTCCTGGGTGTTTGTTGAAGAAGAGAAGGGGGATATAAGGACTTAAAAATTCAGAGTGTGGTACTCATTCTCATGTTCTAATAAACTAATAGTTGATGTTCTATGTAGTATGTTACAGTGAAACCAAGCCAGAGCCAGGTACTCAGGGGCATGTTTGTGCCATCCTGTTCAGGCTGTCGCACCCCACAGATTGAGCAGGCTGTGGGCATCGTGGGAGCAGTCATCATGCCACACAATATGTACCTGCATTCTGCCTTAGTCAAGGTGAGCAAGGACCTTATCTCGGTGACATGTATAAACTGCACATGCGTGGGTTCTTCTTTTTATCATCAAACTGGCCCGAGATTACTGACCCCACAGAAAAGCTGGGACTAACATCCTTCATAAAAGGCCTGAAAGTAGGCTGGCCCTAGTAGTTGAAGGGAGCTGGATCCCATATGAGTGACCACAGTTTGAATCCCAGCCATGCTGGCTTGAAAAACATGCCAGGCTCTTATATGTGTATTCCAAATCCCTTCAGGATGGAGAGATGGAGAAGGGATTGTGACTGTGTCTCATTGGGGATTGATTTTTTTCTTCCCTCCGTCTCTCTAGCGAGTGCTTGTGCTCTCTGGGTTAAAAAATAAAATAGAATTTGTTTTTGAATTGTTTTACTGAACTTTATTTATTTTATTTTTTAATTTGACCAGAGAGGAACAGAGTGAGACAGAGAGAGAAAGTGAGAAGGCAAGCCGCCAGGTCCATGACTCGAACCGTACTCGGCCATGAAAGGTGTGTATTATGAAAAACTGCAAGGATTTCAAGATGTTTTGCACCAACATAAACTTGTACCTTGATTCTGTAGGAGTCCAGTGCCCTTAACCACCACACCACCTGCCAGCCCCACCAGTCAGTCTTACACAGTAATTTGTTGGAGATTGCAGAGACCCTTACAGTGAGGGTTATATACCTCTTAGAAAATCAGATTGTTTTTGTAAATCAGTGGTCTGACCTACTGCAGTAACTGAGGGTTTACTTACTGTGTCATTTAGTCACTGTTTCTTACTTAGGGAATGTGCAATGTTGTCAAAGGGCATAAAACTTTTTTTGAGTGAGAACAATATTAAATTCTATTAACATGTAAGCTCGTTCTCTATGTACATATATATGTGTGTGTATATATATATATATATTTTTTTTCCTTTAAGAAGCACGCTCTTGTCAGAGAGAGACAGGGAGGGGGACTTCCTCTATGTTTTCAGCACTCACACATCTGCACCTGGCAGGTTTTTCAAGCAGCCAGGTCTAACATGCAAACCATACAGTTGGCCATGTGGGATCCAGCGTCTTTTTTTTTGGAGAGATTTTCGCTATAGGGCACGTGCATTCGCCAGACAGACAGAGAGAGACAGAGAGACAGAAAGCGAGAAATCACCCCCCAGGGGGGATGGTCACGCCGCAGTCCCTTCTCCTCCATTCTCCTCTCGGGATCTTGGGCACGCACACGCATGCGCCCGGCGTGAGTTTTAAGCCACCGGGTCTGGGACGCAAACCGTGGTCGACTACGTGGGAGTCCAGCGACATAGCCATTACGCCAACTGCTGGTTCCCTGGAATCCAGCTTCTTTAACCACCATGCCACCGGCTGGCTCAAGACTTTCAAGAATTCTTTCAAGGACAAACTTTTTAGAAAGTCCTAAACATACAATTTTGGTTACTGAACTCTCCTGATCCTATTATGCCAACTGCTGGTCCCATCTCCAATGTCAATTAATATTTAATTCTTAAGGAAGGGTTTGTTACTCCCCTGCATTTTTAAAAAAAGAATTATTTATTATTAGTATTAGTTTTGTATTCTGCATTAAAAACAGTCATGAAGGCTTAACATTAAGTAGTACATTTGTTACATTCATTTAAGAGTCTCTCTTGTATGAATCGAATCCCATGATGTTGCAAGTTTCGATTCTTGGGTAAGATCATCAGTGCACATATTATCTGTATAATCTTATTAAATATACATGTTTCGATGCCTGGTGACTTCCAAGACTTAGAAAAGGCCTCTGCCATCTATAATTATACATTCGCCTGGTCTCTCTGATGTCTTTCTTTTTTTGGAGAGGTTTTTGCTATAGGGTGCGTGCGCTCTCCACAAAGACAGAGAGAGAGACAGACAGAAAGCGAGAAATCATCCCCCCGGGGGGTTGGCCATGCCACAGTTCCTTCTCCATTCTCCTCTCAGGATCTTGGGCACGCACACACATGTGTCCAGTGTGAGTTTAAGCCACCAGGTCCAGGACTCGAACCGCGGTCAACTACATGGGAGTCCAGCGACATAGCTATCACGCCAACTGCTAGTCCCATCTCTGATGTCAATTAATATTTAATTCTTAAGGAAGGGTTTGTCACTCCCCTGCATTTTAAAAAAATAATAATTATTTATTATTAGTATTAGTTTTAAATTTGCTATTAGGCCATGTGTGCTCACCAGAGATAGAGAAAGAAAGTAAGACACCAGTTCCGGTACACGGTCAGCCATGTGGGAGTCCAATGGCTCAACCACCCTGCTACCTGCTGGCTGATATCCTTGCATTTTTTTTTTTCAGCAAGAGATTTTTGCTATATGGCGAATGCGCTTGCCGGAGAGACAGAGAGATAGAAAGTGAGAAATCACCACCCGGGGGGGTAGCCATGCCACAATCCCTTCTCCTCCATTGTGTTTTCAGGATTTTGGGCACACATGCATGCACATGTATCCAGCGTGAGTTTTAAGCCACTGGGTCTGAGGTTCAAACCATGGTCACCTATGTGGGAGTACAGTGATGTAACCATTATGCCATCTGTTGGTCCCCATCCTTGCATTTTTAAGGTCTATCAGATATGAATTCTTTCAAATAGGAGGTGTAATTTTGACAGGAAAACTTTTCACATTCATTACATTTATTTGTTTTTTCTCCTATGGATTACCCAATGTCTGGAGAGCTGTGAAAGCATACTAAAATATTTGCCACATTTATTACATGTGGAAGGTTTCTCACCAGTACAAATTGTCTGATGTCTTGTGAGGACTGAATGCACACTAAGCGATCTGGCAAAAATATGGAATGCTTCATGGATTTGCATGTCATTCTTGCACAGAGGCCATGCTAATATTCTCTGTATTGTTCCAATTTTTAGTATATATGCTGCCGAAGCAAGCATGCATAAAACTCTTAATTACTTAATGAACTAGAGTGTAGGTGAATGTTGGATTTCTCACATTTCATCTAGTCAGTTGTTGGTCTTTTAAATCTTTGAGGTGACTCCACATTCCTGAAATGTAATAAGGAAATTTGTTCTAGCTGGTCACAAAGTGACTGCCCTTGTTTCTTTAGTCTAGACAGGTGAACCGCGCCAATAAACAGGAAGTTCGAGAAGCCAATAAATACTTTTTCATTGAATCCTGCATTGCTCTCTTTGTTTCCTTCATCATCAACGTCTTTGTGGTCTCGGTCTTTGCTGAAGCATTTTTTGGGAAAACCAACGATCAAGTGGTGAGTAAGTCAGGTTGATGAGTGGTAATGATGGTGAGAGAAAAGTGAAGACTGGAAAGGGGTGGGAAAATACAGCAGTGACTTGGAATCCAGGGCAAATGGATCTCTAACCTCAATGCTGTCTCCTCAAAATCACTGTGTACTGGTCAGAGTCTAGGGGCTGACCATGCCTGGGCTTTCCTGCTTTTGACTGGGAAAGGAGCTTGCCTCAGCTCAAGATTGCTTCATGCTGTTGGGTTAGTAGCTTCACATTCACGTGGCTCATTGTTAACCTCTTGTTTCTTGCCTACAAACTTCTGCCTGCCTGCTTTCCAGTCCTGCCAATGGTCAGATATGTGGGAGTCCAGCACCCCAACCACTATGCCAGCCCCAACAGTAGCTGTTACTGGAGACTTTGTTTAGTCATTTTGAATTCTGCATCCTCTTGATTCCTAATTACCTGTTTAGTTTTCTTATTTATTTAGATTTTTGCCATAAAGCACGTACACTTACTAGAGGGAGACAGACACAGGGAGAGGGAAAGTTAGAAATCACCCCCGGGGACGGGAGGTGGACATGCTGCAATCCCTTCTCCATTCTCCTCTCAGGATTTTGGGCATGCACGCTTGTTCGCCCAGCATTTTCTCGGGCCACAGGTCCAGGATTCGAACCATGAAGTTGACCATGTAGAATGCAATGCCCCAACTACCACGCCACCTGCTGGCCCATCTCTGTAGTTTTTCTTTACCTTTGATAACCTCTGACTCCTGACTTTGACTAAGGACACCCTGTTCTGGATGTCCTTTCATGTTTGAAGCCTTTATTTTAAGATTATGGAAGAAGATCACAAGACATCTTGCTGCTGATCTCTGCCCACATCACTACCTGTATCCAGTGTTTTCTCTTCAGCCTACGTCTCATAAATGGCTATGTGTGATCTGTAGGACAGAACTTTTCTCTAGTCCTTGCTTCTAAAATAAATATTGCTTTTAAACTCCTTTGGATCCTAGGTTGAAGTCTGTAGAAACAGTAGCAGTCCCCATGCTGGCCTCTTTCCTAATGATAACTCTACCCTGGCTGTGGACATCTACAAGGGGGTAAGCATGTTCAGATTTGTGGCCTTTGTTCCCAAGTCAATATTCTTAGCATATTATCTGATCACGTGCATGCATGTGAGAGAAAGAGGTGGGGGGTAGTATTAGCACCTTTCATAGGGTCTGGTTGGGCTTTGATCTCCATCCCTGAGTCCTGTAGTTAATATTGGATCTTGGGCATTCACATGCATGCTAGATGTGTTTCAGGCTGACCAGGCCAAGGATTAGAACTGTGGTCATGTTGTGGGATTCAGCTTCTTCTTCTTTTTTTAAGAGGTTTTTGCTATAGGGCGCGTGCACTCGTCAGACAGACAAGAGAGAGACTGAGAGACAGAAAGCGAGAAATCACCCTCCAGGGGGGATGGCCACGCTGCCATTCCTTCTCCATTCTCCTCTCGGGATCTTGGGCACGCACGCACACGCGCCTGGCGTGAGTTGTAAGCCACTGGGTCCGGGGTGAACCACGGTCGACTACGTGGGAGTCCAGCGACATAGCCATTACACTAACTGCTGGTCCCGGGATTCAGCTTCTTTTGAGTAGTACCTTACCCCTGTGTCATGGAGCTGGCCCAATAAAGTGTTCTTTACTGGGGTTTCTCAGTCCCTTCATGCGGGTTACATTGTGATCCTCCAAGAATGAAATATACAGGGTGCAACATTTCCCAAGTTTATTGGTACTTTCCCTGCACTCCTGTTACCATTTTCTAGGATAGTACATTAAGAAATATAATTTGGGAAATGTAATATAGATGCCTTTTGTGTATGTGTTTGTATATACATGTAGATGTATATATTTTAAAAATTATTTTATTGAACTTTATTCATTTAATTTGTTTGTTTATTTATTTATTTATTTTAATTTGACCAGAGAAGGACAGAATGAGAGAGAGGGAAAGTGAGAAAGCAACCCGCCAGGTCTAGGACTCACACCACAGTTGGCTATGTGGAAGTCCAGTGCCCCCAACCACCATACCACCTGCTGGCCCCAATAGATAGATAGATGATAGATGATAGATAGATAGATAGATAGATAGATAGATAGATATACACACACATGGAGATTGGAGATACAAAGACTTTAGCAGCTTGGACAAAAGAAAGGACTAGACAGAGGGATGAAGGATTAGCCAGTGACGTTTAGATTAAAAACTTCTAGAATGAAGTCAGGCCCTAAGCCTGGCTTCTGGGATATTGCCTAGCACAGCTCTTGGTATGTGTGGTACATAGAACAGAAGAGGGAGAAATGTCACAGAGGAATGCTGTTTTGGGTATTGTCTAAGCAGGTCGTTGTCACAGACGTATCTTTCTCCCTTGCCTCTCTCAGGGTGTTGTACTGGGATGTTACTTTGGGCCTGCTGCACTCTACATCTGGGCAGTGGGGATCCTGGCTGCAGGACAGAGCTCTACCATGACAGGAACCTATTCTGGCCAGTTTGTCATGGAGGTATGTGCCAATACAGAATAGAGGGAGGATACTTAAAGTTCTTGTCCCCCCCTTTTTTTTCTTTAGTTTTCAGAGGGTATACATGCTTGTCAGAAAGAAAGAGAGAGAGAAAGTACCTCCCGCTGGGCGTGGTCACACCACCGTCCTCCTTACTTCATTCCTCTCTCCTGTCAGGATTTTGGGCACCCACACATCCACATAAATCCAGTATAATCCTCAAGCCACCAGGGCTTGAATTCAAACCCTGGACAGTCATATAGGATCCAGGTTTTCATGCACAGCCCAAATTAGGTTTAACGAGCCAAGTTAGACATGATGAGGAGAAAGAGAAGGGAAATTACCATCAAATAAGCCTCTAGAAACAACAACCTCCTAGAAATGCAGTGAACTGTTTCACTAGAGCCCCTAGAAATTTAACAAGTCATGCGTGGTCCTCAACTGCTGCACCATGGGGCTAGCACTTTTTGTTGCTTTTTAATTCCATGCTTCTGAGGTCTCTAATGAACCTCCCCCAACCTTTTTTATTCCGTGTTGCTAATAATCCTCCTGTTCTTGTATTTTCTTCCAGGGATTCCTGAACCTAAAATGGTCACGCTTTGCCCGAGTGATTCTGACCCGCTCTATTGCCATTATCCCTACTCTGTTGGTTGCTGTTTTCCAAGATGTAGAGCATCTAACAGGGATGAATGATTTCCTGAATGTCTTGCAGAGCTTACAGGTAAGAAGGTAGCTGGAAAAACTCACATTGCATTTAGTTAGGCAGCATATGTATTCCCCTTGGACGCCAAGCCTAGTGGTGGGGGGTATTGGAAAAAAGAAAAAGGCACAGTCTAGGTCTGCAGTAAATGTATGTAAAGTCTCTCTCATCTAAAAGCATTTTAGAAATGGTTTGCTTTTTTTTTTTTTTAATAATTATTTATTTTATTTTATTTATTCATTCATACATTTTTTAATTTTACCAGAGAGAGACAGAGGTTGAGAATGAGAGAGAGAGGAAACGAGAAAGCAAGCCACCAGATTCAGGACTCGAACCCTGGTCGACCATGTGGGAGTGTCCAGCGCCTTAACCACCACGCCACCTGCTGGTCCCCTATGGTTTGCTTTTTTAAAAGCCTGTTAAATAGGGAACCAGCAGTTAGCGTAATGGCTATGTCGCTGGACTCCCACATAGTCGACCGCGGTTCGCGTCCTGGACCCAGTGGCTTAAAACTCACGCCGGGCGCATGTGCGTGTGTGCCCAAGATCCCAAGAGGAGAATGGAGGAGAAGTGATTGTGGCGTGACCATCCCCCCTGGGGGGTGATTTCTCACTTTCTGTCTCTATGTCTCTCTGTCTGTCTGGCGAGTGCACGCGCCCTGTAGCGAAAAAACCTCTCCAAAAAAAAAAAGCCTGTTAAATAGAATTATGAGCTCCAGTTACACACAGAACACAAAATTATAGTTCATTAATTCAAACAAACATTAAATGAAAACATACTAGACACTGTGCTTGGTACTATGAAGGTGAAGAAGAAAAGTCACTTACAGTCATAATTGATGCAATTTAATGACAGCTGTACATATTTCAATATAAAGCTTGATCTCTTCGGGATGATAGGCAAGGTTTATGTTTCCCTTTTGCTTACTGTACTGTCAGGTGGTACAAGGATCTCAGTAGCCCCATCTGATCCTACTTCTTTCTTTTGCAGCTTCCATTTGCTCTCATACCCATCCTCACATTTACAAGCTTGCGGCCTGTGATGAGTGACTTTGCAAATGGAATGTGAGTGTACTTTTCTTAGTTCTCCAAAAGAGTTGCTTGTATGTGGAGGAAAAATGTCTTTATTTCTAACAGGCCAGTCAGAAATGAGCCATACAGGGGCACTATATGCTTAGGGAGGTGATTCCTAGCTGCTTGCTCATTGACTTAGAATATGGAAACTGACTGTAGTAAAGGAGAAAGCACATTTTTCATTTCTTAACAAAACAGTTCAGCTTTTAGGTTGATCTTTTTAGTCTTCAACTCTTCAACTTCAGCTACTGCTGTTTGAAGCACCTTAATCCTATGTTAAATGATCTTAATGAGAAAGGCAAAAGCTAATACCTTTTATACCTCTTTTAAAGGTATGGGGTATTTGAAATGACTTGCTACATTTCTAGGGATTCTAGTGAAATGGCTCATTATGTTTCTATGACTTGTGCCTATCTAGGGACTTAAATATTGGGGATTACTTAATGGCAATTTTCCACCCTCTCTCAACGTGATGTCTAACTTTGGCTCATTAAACCTAATCTAGAACATAGAAAGAACAATTTTCAGTTCATTTTGAAGTGACTTTAGCTCTTGTCCTGTTTACACTGTAAAACACAGTTTCCTTTTCTGTGTGTGGTTAGGGTGGACTGTTCTACCATGGCTGTTGATTCTTTTACAGAGGCTGGAGGATTGCAGGTGGGATCTTGGTCCTTATCGTCTGTTCCATCAACATGTACTTCGTAGTGGTTTATGTCCAGGACCTAGGGCACATGGCGTTGTATGTGGTGGCTGCGGTGGTCAGTGTGGCTTATCTGAGCTTTGTGTTCTATTTGGTAAGTCCAGTCTGGAGGGAGCAGGGGCAGAGACAGCAGGGGTGGTAGAGATGGGACTGACTGACTCAGAATTTAGCGGACCCAGAAGGGCACATAGTGATCTCATCTCTAGGTTATTGAGACAATTTACATGAAATTATCAAGTCAACTATTTATGAGATAGTATTTCTAACCTTAAAATTTACTTTGGTTCCTAAGATCTGTCGTTTTTCTGTTTCTGTCACTTCTCTCTGGTTTCAGTTCTTGATAATTCCTAATAAGAGAATGAGGAGTAGTATATTTGAGGAGGTAAAAGAAGGATAGCAGTAAATAGAGTAGAGTGCTATGAGACAGAGTTGGGGAAAGGGTTGTGCTGTGTGATTAGAAGCTTTGGGGTGGGACACATGTGAGTTCACAGCCCGGATCAGCTCTACCATTTACTGGCTGTCCCAGGAAAAGCATATTAATAAATCGTAATATCTCACTTGATTATTCTAGATTTTTAAAGAAGAGAACTGAGACTTGAATTTTTAAAATAATTATTTTGTTTAACGTTATTTATCTATTGTATTCTCATCAGAGAGAGACAGAGTGAGAGAGAGGGAAAGTGAGAAAGCAAGTCACCAGGTCCAGGACTCAAACCACAATCGGCCCTGTAGGAGTCCAGCGCCCTTAACCATCATGCTACCTGCTGGCCCCTCTAGAATTCTTTTTTAACTGCCAGAAGCCATGTAGTCCCTCACCATTTAGAGAGAGGGAAAGAAAGAGAATCAGAAAGTACTCCCCAATGGGGCATGATTACATATACCATAGTCCCTTTTCCATTTCTTCATTCTGGACATGCACACGTAAATGACCAGTGTATATTTCAAGACACCAGGCCTGGATTTTGAATTCTTGTTGGCCATGTGGGATCCAGTTCCCTTAACCACTAGGCTATGGGATTGGTTCCCCAGAGTCATTTTAAAAAATCATGGTGTGGGCTGGCAGGTGACGTGGTGGTTAAGGCAGTTGGACTCCCACATGGCTGACTGTGGTTTGAGTCCCAGACCTGGCAGCTTGCTTTCTCACTCCCCGCTCCCCCCCCACCCCCGGTCTCTCTCTGATCAACTTCAAAAATATTTTTTAAAAAAAGACAATGACTAAAATTAAACGAAAAATAATTCTTTAAAAAAAATGTGATTGTTGGGCCAGCTAATGGTGTGGTTAAGACAGCTGTATTCCATATGACCAACTGCAGTGTTCAAGTCCCAGACCTGGTGGCTTAAAAAATACACTGGATTGGATGTATATGTGTGTGTGTGCCCAAAATCCTGAGAGGAGAATGGAGGAGAAGGAATTGAAGTATGGCTATGCCACCTGGGTGGTAATTTCTCACTTTCTCTCCTTTTTCTCTAGTGAGTACACAAGCTTTAGAGCAAAACTGGGGGAAAAAGTGCTTATAAAACTACAGTTACCTAGAAAAGAAACTGTGGTTTGAGTCCCAGACCTGGCAGCTTGCTTTCTCACTTTTCTTCCCTCTTTCTCTCTGTCTCTTTCTGGTCAACTTCAAAATAATAAAATTATTTATACTCAGATTATAAAAATATTTTTTTAGTCTAGAGTAAATTATATAAAAATGATAATCATTTTAGCAAGGTGGGATAATGGATATTTTCTTCTCCTTTTTTTTTCTTGTTTTCAGAGATTTTTGCCGTAGGGCGCATGTGCTCGCTGGAGAGACAGAATATGAGAAAACACCCACTAGGGGGATGGCATTCCCTTCGTCTCCATTCTTCTCTTGGGATTTTGGGCACACACATACATGTGCCTGGCATGAAGTTTAAGCCACTGTGTCCAGGACTTGAACCACAGTCAACTATGTGGGAGTCCAGCAACAGGCCAATATGCCATCTGCTGGTCCCTTCTCTTTTTCTAAAGCTTCTTTTAGGGCCTTTTTTAAAAGAATTATTTATTTTATTTTATTTTTTATTATTTTTAAAATTTGATCAGAAAGAGAAAGTGAGAAGGCAAGCTGCCAGGTCCAGGACTCGAACCGTGGTCAGCTATGTGGGAGTCCAGTGCCTTAACCACACACCACCGGCTGGCCCCTCTAAAGCTCTTTTTTCTTTTCTTTTTTTGGAGAGGTTTTTGCTATAGGGTGCGTGCAGTCTCCAGAAAGACAGATACAGACAGACAGACAGAAAGTGAGAAATCACCCCCCCCCCAGGGGGGATGGCCATGTCGCAGTTCATTCTCCTCCATTCTCCACTAGGGATCTTGGGCATGCACGCACACACACCTGGCGTGAGTGTAAGCCACCGGGTCCGGTACTCAAACCATGATCAACTACTTGGGAGTCCAACATAGCCATTACATTAACTACTGGTCCCATACCTCTAAAGCTTTTAAAATTTGTTTATATAGATTAAAAATAGCCAAAAACAACAACAAATCCACCTCCCTAATCTAGAGGTTTTCTCTGAAGTCCACAAAGATTTGGGATAGGAATAGGATAATTATGCCATGCCTGTGCAGAGAATAGCTGAAGAAAGAGGTTAGAAACCTGCTTACCTAGTCCCCATGCCAATGTCTGCCATGGGTTAGGTACTTAATTGAGATAATCGCTTTAGTAAATATTGAAATATTATGTCCTGAATTTATATGTCCTTTCTGTTTTCCTTCTCAATGAACTTTGGGCACAAAAAAATAATACTAACCCTAGGGACCAGCAGATGACATAATCATTATGTCGCTGGACACCCACATGGTGGACTGCAAGTTCGAGTCCCAGACCCGGTGGCTTAAAACTCACACCGGTTGCATGTGCATACATTCCCAAGGAGAATGGAGGAGAAGAGATTTCTATATGGCCATTCCCCTGGAGGGGTAATTTCTCACTTTCTGTCTCTGTCTCTCTCTGTCTTTCTGTTGAGTGTACATACCCTGTAGCAAACATCTCTCAAAGACAGGGACCAGCAGTTGGTGTAATGGCTGTGTCCCTGTACTCCCATGTAGTCGACCACTTTTCGAGTCCCGGACTCGGTGGCTTAAACTCATGCCGGGTGCATGTGCATACATGCCTAAGATCCTGGGAGGAGAACTGAGGAGAAGGGATTGCGGCATGGCGATCCCCTCCTTCCCTACCCCCGCCTCTGGTGAACACACATGCCCTATAGCAGACTAAAAGAATCCCCAGACAGAAAGCAGTAGGAACAGAGGGAGCTCAGTATTGAAAAGAGTATGAAAAATGTAGAAAAGGGCAGATTTCCAGGTATTTTGAAGGAGGACAAGAGTCTCTTTGTTGGGAGAACAGCTGTGGAACTATTGGTGGTAGAAGATGGGCAAAGTTCAGGTTCAAGGAAGGGAGCAGGTATGCGTTTGAGTAGTGCTGTCTGAGCAGTCATGGCAGGTAAGGGGGCTTTTCAAAGAGCCTGGTGAATGATGACTGCTGTTTTATCTTTCAGGGTTGGCAATGTTTGATTGCATTGGGCATGTCCTTCCTGGACTGTGGGCACACGGTAAGCATCTCTAAAGTCCTGCTGACCGAAGACACCACTGGTGGCTATGCTAAGTAAACTGGATTAGTCTGTCTTCCACAGGTAGCCACCAGAACTAATGCATTTCTATGGTTTACTGTGTGAGCATAGCCAAAGGTATGTGCTGTTGCACACCACATTTAGGATTCAGCTGTTGGTTGAGAAAGAGTTTATTTCATAGATGTTTGAGAGATGGAATTCTTTTTCTTCTTGACCTCCTAACCTGGGAACTGGACTAGATAGGATCCTTGGAATGCTGACATTTGCTGCTATCATTCCAACACTAAACTATTCAGTAGCTGCTCAAGGGCCACTTGTTTTATTATTTTGAGAGCTAATCCTCTATGCATTATTCTTAATGTTGTAAGTTAAAATGTATTTGAAAATGCAATACATTTTTAATAATACCAACTACAGAATGGGTATGAATTTTATCAAGAGATAATGGACTTTAAAAGGCTGAGAATTTTTTTTATTGTGTGTATCCTTTTAATTATTTTAACTATTAAAAAACTCAACTACAGTGGTTTCATCCATATGAAATATTAAAAAATTAAGAGACATCTACCTCTTTCAGGCTCAGGACCCTTTTACCTTATGTCCACTTAAAATTTCTGTGGAAATTAATAGGGAATCTTAATTTTAATCATAATAATCATGTTAATACAGAGCTTTTCTGATTGGTAGCCTTTATGAAATGACATTCTCCCATTGTGGGTGGGTAGAAAAGACTCAAAAGGGAAAGAAGAGCCATCTGTTTTATTCCTAAAAGCCACCTGTCACCAGAATCATCATGTTTTCTGATGCACCACTCTGCTTCATGGCCGAGATAACTTGCAAGGCAATCTCAGGAGCTAAGGACCTAAACGTTGCAAAGCTCTCTCTTCTCAGCAAGTCAGTAGGTGTCACTGTGGTTGCAAAGTTCTTTCAACAAGATTGAACTGGGCTACCTCTCTCCAACTGTTTCCTGAGGGAAAAACTTTGAGACCAGATGGTGGAGCACTGGAGTCAGAGGAAATGGGTGTCTTCAGCATGAAGCTACTGCTCTTATTCAGCCACTACTGACATTTTTTACATGTGGAGCCTAAGACTGTGTGATTATCTCAAGTCAAGTCACATTTGTCTGCTGGAGATAAATAATCAAAAGCCTTTTATAGCCATTGACTTGGTGAGAACAATAATGGAATGGCTTTGAAGGACTTCTCATTTTGGAGCTTCCTTCTGGAGTCTTGGTTCATTGATGCTCTGTGTTCATCTGAGCCCCCAAAGGTGTAATTAGTGATATTTGGCATGTAGTCTATAGCACTCATTGGATGCGTTGTCATTTCAGTGTTCATAAGCATTAAAGGTAGACCGCTGTGTTTCACTGACCATACATTTTTCTTAGTCCTTCAAGCAACAAAGCACAGAATCACAAATGACAATTTTCCACTGGTTTTCCTCCTGTCTGCCCCTTTCCCTACCACTGTCATTCCCTAAACTGGTCAGAAAGGCACTTTGTGAAGATATTGGCGACTGACATCATAAGCTCTCATCTGGCTGTAGTAGGTAAAGGCCAGATTGACAAAAAAATTCTTTGTGAGATGGTACACTGACATCAAACTTTGCCTTGGATGTGGATGGGTCTGGAAAGTCTCAGACTCACAAACATTTAGGAGCCCAGATAAAAGCTGCTAGTAATCTTTTGAAAGTTTTATTTATGACTTGCAATGATGGAAAATGTTTTCCCAGTAAAATGGCATTTTATAATACTGTGTGTGTAGTATTTTACAGGTTTGAAAATGATCCCATACTGTATTCCATTTGATCCTCACAGAAAGTGTACTTCAGTTACAATAAGCAATGTATAGAAATTTAAGTCTTAAAATGCCAGCATGCACAGTGCATTTTGACTTTACCAAATGTTTAAAGATACATAATTGTACTTTATGTAAATTGGTCTTTGTTCTCTTTAGATGTGACCTGAAATATTTGTGTTGCTATAGTATATTGGAAATTATCAGAGGGATAGGAAAGAGCTTCACTTTGGCTCCTGTGAGGTCTTGCTAGTGGTATTAGGAGTATTTACATCTGAGCTTTCAATGACCATTTAACAGTATGTAAACTTGGTTTGTAATTAAAATTTTTTTTTTCTTTTTTCCAATTTGGTTTCCTGGGTATTTTTTTTAACCTTGAACCCTTGAAAATACTTCATTAATAAGGTGTCAACAACTTTGATTTAAAAAAATAACAAAACATGAGTTACCACCTGAAATGACATACTAAGCCCACACTGTTAGTGATTTTCACCTTAGAAGGGACAGAGAAATAGATTTAGTTTTCAGAAGGCTTGGATTCATTGCACATATCAAGGCACTAATTTCTATTTACCCATTTAGTCAAATAGTTTTGCTGTGGGACCAGCAGATGGCATAATGGCTACATTGCTGGACTCCTACATAGTTGACCGCGGTTTGAGTCCTGGACCCGGTGGCTTAAACTCATGCCAGACTCATGTGTGTGCATGCCCAAGATCCTGAGAGGAGAATGGAAGAGAAGGGATTGCAGCGTGGCCATTCCTCCCAGGGGGTGATTTCTTGCTTTCTGTTTCTCTGTCTTTCTGGCAAGTGCACACGCCCTATAGCAAAAACCTCTTCAAAAAAAAAAAAAAAAAAAAAGGTGGTTTTGCTGTAGCTAGTGGTAACATAATTACCATCTTTAAAACATGAATAAATAAAAAAATTTTAGCTTGTCTTTCTCTACTATAAGCTGCGTATTTTTCTGTCTAGTCTCGTTCTACCATTGATGAAGGCTCTAACATTCTGTATATGCTGCCAGTTAAAATGAGCGAATATTTGAGGAGAAAAACAAAAACTATTAAGCTTAACAAACAAATGAGCATGTTGTCAGGCCTGATATGACGGAGATATTGGCACCACTTATTGAAAACTGAGGTGACACTCAGGCACATAGAACTATTGATGAAGTACTGGCTCTGTCACCACACAGGACAAAAAGTCAGCATTCAGGTTATCCCAAAAGAGTCGCTGGAACTTAATATTCCCTTCCTCTGTTTCAGACTTTCCCTGTTTGTCTCATAGCAACTGAATATACAAAGTAAACTGGGAAGAATTTCATTCTCCATATTATCCTTTCTTATTTAGCAGTTTCTTCTTGCTTTGACTTAATTTCAGAACTAAAAAGGTTGTAAAACAATTTAAAGATGCCAATTTGAGACATTTCCTTTAGGTCTGCCCTCTGGAATGTCTTCTACTCCTTCATTAGTGGGACCAGTGAATCTAAATGTGTCAGCTTCTCTGGGCACCTTAGCTGAAGAGCATAGAAATGTTTAACTCATTACTTATGTACTGGCCCTGTCTGAGCACTCATGTTATCTCATTTAATCCCTATGACAACAGGGTCGGCCTCTATGTAGATGAGACAACTGAAAGGCCAAAAGTAATGTGCCCACATCACATTGCTAATGAATGGGCAATTGGCATTTGAACTTGAGTAGCTCAATGCCAGAGACCGTGTTTTTATTCCTAAGCCATCTTTCTTTAAAATAATTATTTTATTTTAATTAATTAATTAATTTTAATTTGACTAGAAAGAGAGAGAGGATAAAAGTGAGAAAAGTGAGAAAGCAAGCCAGTAGTTCTGGGACTTGAACTGTGGTTGGCCATGTGGGAGTCCAGTGGCCTAAACCACCATGCCATCTGCCACGCCACCCCACCTCCCGCATGCCATCTTGTAGCTGGGTTAAGACACCAATCTTTTAGAGCCAGTCTGTGGCTTGGTGGTTAAGGGCGGCAACGTCCCACATAGCTTGAGTGTGTGGTTTGAGTCCCGGACCCAGTGGCTTGAAAAACACACTGGGCACATGTCCATGCAAGCCCAATATCCCGAGAGGAGAATGGAAGAAATGGCGTGGCCATCCTGAGGGGTGATTTCTCACTTTCTGTCTCTTTGTCTCTGTCTGTCTGTCTGGCGAGCGCACGCAACGCCCTATAGCGAAAAAACCTCTAAAAAAAAAAAAAAAAAAGTGGCCACTTTTTATTATCTTTTTTGAGTGGCAGATTAGATTTTGTTTGGGTTGTGTTCATTTTATTTATTTTAGAGATTTTTTTTTTAGAGAGATTTTTTTTTGGGGGGGGTCACAGTTCGAATCCCAGACCCACTCGACAGCTTAAAACTCATACCGGGTGGGTATGTGTGCCCAAGATCCCGAGAGGAGAATGGAGGAGAAGGGATTGTGGCATGGCCATCCCCTCTTGGGGGGAGGGGGGATTTCTTGTTTTCTATCTCTATCTTTCTGTCTCTCTGGTGAGTGAATGTACCCTATAGCAATAAAAACTCTTTAGGACTGGCAGGTGGCATCATGGTTAAGGTGGCTGACTATGGTTCGAGTCGCAGACCTGGCAGCTTGCTTTCTTGCTTTCCTTCTCTCTGTGTCTCTCTCTAGTCAACTTCAAAAAAAAAAAAATAATGACAATGAATAAAATTGAATAAAATAATTCTTTTAAAAAACTTTTTAAAAAGTAAATTTGAAAATATATAAATAAATAAATTTGAATGCTTTTGGCAGACATAGAGAATGAGCAGGGTCTGCTATGATCCTAACTCAGCAGTAGCTAAGATCTAATGATAAGTTTATTCATTTGCATTACCTGTCTACCCAGAAAATATTGTAACCTATTGCTGGGCCACTTAGCCCTACTTCACAATGTCTCACAACAATGTATGACAGACTTCTTTCCTGAAATAGTTTGATTTGGGGCCAGCAGGTGGCGTGGTGGTTAAGGTGCTCGACTCCCACATGGCTGACTGATTTGAGTCCCAGACCTGGCAACTTGTTTTTTCACTTTCCTTTTTTCTCTCTGTCTCTCTCTGGTGAACACATGTGACCTATAGCAAATTAGAATAATAATAAAAAACAACTTAAAAAAAAGTTTGATCTGTCTACTAGGCCACCTAGTACAGCCTGTGGGCATTATGGGATATCGCAAACCTTGCTTATTAGATAATGAGGAAGCCTACTACCTTTGCTCACTTGGAAAATGGTTTTAATGAATTCTTGTGCCTGACAATTGCTCTTAGTTGCTGAAGCAGAGATGTCAGTCCTTGAGGTAAATAAGCAAGCTGAAGTCTGAAGTCTGTTTCCCTGCCCAAAAGTCAGTGTAATCAGTATTTTTCTAACCCACTAGATGAGGATAGTTTTATCTTAGACACCATTTGGTCTGTGTTATCGTCACACAGTTGTCACGACAAGCCAATGAGGTTATACAGGACAGTTTGTAATGTTGTTAAATATATATTGAAGGCCAATGTGAAATACTCTGTTAGTGTTGCCAGCATTTTCAAATGTAGCATTTATTCCTATTTTACAAATAAGTGTAGAACATGTCTCCAAAAGAACACATGCTATCCTCAAAGTTACAGGAAGTGGTAGAGTTGGGGCTTGAACGAAACTCTAGTGCCTCTTCCTCTGTTCTCGAACAGTCATAGTTCTTACAGATGTGTAGTCTGCATTCTGCACTGGCCTACAGGCTATTGGTGTCAAGGGCCACTACTGTTCCTAAAGCCCTAAGTAGTAACAGTGGGGCTAAAATGAGATACTGATTGTCCCAAGGTATATTCAGGGGAGAGAAAGAATGAAAAGGAATACAGCTTCATGGCTCGCAGTGCATGCCATCTGGATTCAGTTCTCCAAGGGTGGGTCTGGAACTTGTTTTTGTTTGTATGTTTGTTTAATGACAGAGGGCATATAAGAGAAAGCATTTCCCAGTGGGGCCTGATCATGCCATAATTCTTTTTCCATCATGCCTCTATCCTGTCAGGATCCAGGAACATGTGCCTACTGCATGTGTTTTTTCACGCCTCTGGTTTTTTCAACCTTGGTTTGTCATGTAGTTATCTGGCTTCTGTGTAGCACTTAACTGCTGTGCTATGGGTCCTGCCTTGGAAATGTGTTTTAGCAGCAGCTGAGGTGGTTCTGACTCACTTTGGGAAACATTTGGGACCCAGAGGTCTTCTCCCTCTCTCTCAGCACATGCCATTTTATTGACTGTGTTTTTGTTTTTGAATAAAAGGCTTTCCTCTGCTTAGGTGACAGAAGATAATGGGGCAGGATTATAGGGTTCAGGATTTAGACCATTTGATATTTGATTTCTAATACAGTACTAAAACACAAAAGCACTCAGTGCATATCTGCTCTTAGTATCCTGATCTGATGTGCCCATCCTGGGGTGTAATAGGTCACAGAAATAATCAGAGTGCTTATTTTGCTGAGGGCATCTGGCACTAGCTCAGTCCTTAACTATTTCAGCTTCTAACTGTTACTTTACACATCAGAAATCTTATGCTTGTAAGCTGTTTCTTTTCTGAAATAAAAATACTGTGCTACTGAAAATAGGCCTAAATTGACATGCTGTTTAAATACTTAAGTGGTAATTTCAGTGGTTAAATACTTGAAAAATTAGTCTAACCATCTTTCATCTTTTTGTCTTTAGTATCACCTGGGATTGACAGCTCAGCCTGAACTTTACCTTCTGAACACCGTGGATGCTGACTCACTTGTGTCTAGATGATTGACAGCCTGAGAGACTATACAAGAACAATTTTCTTTAAGCCCTTTTGTACCAAGTGTCTCGTTAACCTATCTCTGTTAGTTCAGAGGTGAGTTTTGTTCAAACATTTTGAACAAAAGGCACAAATTTCATCTTGGGAAGGGTGTTAAAGCTGCGTTTTCCCTCTTCCTCTCTCTCTCTTT